TGTATGAAATAGCAGAGAAAAAGGTAAAGTAAATCAGATTACTATCATGACGATTTGAACACCTTATTACTCTATACTACTGAGATGTTATAGTAATATTGACCCGGGGTAATGTTGATACAAATTTGTCAACCCGAAAGTAGCATTGTTAACCAAGGCGTAGCCGAGGCAAATATTAATATTTACCGGGGCTGGTGTCAATATCTGTATTATGGTGAATAAAAGACTCATATTGTAACGCTGTATTATAATATATCTCCTGCCCAAGTTTTCAATTGCAACATCCAGAATTTTCTCCATTCCCAAGTAGCTGTTTCATCACACTTGCAATAGTTTGTATGTATTTATATTGCATAATTCTTCTCTAAATTACTGTCACATTTGTGAAGGCACCAACTAGCTATGAGCGACATTTCAGAGGTCCCGATATTTACACATGACATGAGCGCACACAAACTCAGACCTAAATAAAACGTAATATAACAAATATTCCCTTAAATGAACAGTTCAGGTTAATGAAACCCACGTGTATGTACGATACAACAACAAGTGATTAATTTATCTCGATGAAATAAATAAAAACCACTACACGTCGGTACACGATGTCAACAAATCCCGGAATGCCGGGCAAAGTTTAGGTAATCTGCGCTAGCTGCGTGCACTGTGTGGCGACTACGGTGGAAACGACCGATATACGTTATTTGATAACTATCAGATAACTCAAGTAATGCAATATATCTGGTTACAGTTGTTCGACCTGTTCACAAATTTCGTGTTTCGAGAATACGCCGACAAACGATAACGGTGAATCTTGTTCAATCATTACGTCTATGCATGGTGGAAGCCTATTTTGATGTTTTTGACGTCTGAAAAATATGGAAATATCTCGACCGTCAAATGCACAAATCTGATTGGCTATTGGAAATAACATTATACTGTACTACCTCATTGTTTATATTGTATCCTGATAATGCCATTTACTTATATATTGACAGGATGTTGACAAAGATAGGGTTTATACATCACTCAACCCTGCTACCAGAGAAAAAGAATCTGAATATGAAATGCCACTCCCAAGATTAAATAAGGTATAAATATTATCTGAATATTATATCAACTAGTGCTATACTATTTCTTCATCCACTGTGAATATAAGTCCAGGGAATAACCAACCTACTATTTAATTTACAGGGCACTTCTGGAAATACTTAGTCTCAGAACAATCACATGAATCCGTGAAATAACAGTTCGAATACAAGTTTGTTCTCCCAATTCAGACACGAGGTGGTTTATAGACTGTCAGGTGGTTACTATATGATGGAGTTGTATTATGACGTTGTGATATGTTTTCACTTTCATCAGCACTTCAGATTAAGCAGATTATCACTACCAGAAGTTAAGGAAACTTGTATTAATGATTACGTTCACACAGTCCGAGTTGTTTTAATATCATTTGCATATCAAAGGTATTGAGGAAATTGACCCTTGTTGCCAGTTTCTACTCCATGCATAAATGACCTTTGTGACCTATATTGTATATTATCCCATAATGCGTGTTGTTCAATTGTTAGCGCCATTAGTATAGTAACACTTATTTTCGTAATAATTACGTTGAGAAAAAGTTGATAACATTAATAAAAACATTTCGCATATATCTGCAAAAAATATGTTGGTATACAATTCAGAGTCATGACAGTGCTAATGTAAACGAATATATGTGTCTTATATGTGTATGACAAACTAATAGACTGGCATATTTTTAACCACGTGTTTATATAGTTTGTTAATCAAGTCGATTCAGTACTTAAATCGTGGAGTACGTAATTGATGTTGACCTGACGTCAGCACATAAAGCTTGATAAAACACTAGAGAAGTCTGGAAAATGAACAGTTTAAGACATAATAGTAATAGATTTGTGTTTAAAGTGGTCTTGTAGTTATTAGGATCGTCTTGTTTCTATAACCATGCTAGTAAGTTGATGGATTTTGCTAAGCAGCTCTCGTCGTTTGTGGGTTTAAGTTGCATTCAAACTGCAAGAATTATCTCACTGACACCTGTTCGCATCTCACCTCTCCTAAAATAAAATAAATTGATCATGAGTGATTACAGAAACAAAAAATGTGTTTGATTTGGTGATTGAACACTAGGACTTTTAGTGGGGGACAGCTCTATTGCTGCACTATTTCAGGATTCGTGTTTAACTGATTTTAAAATGTTAATAACATGGTAATAAGAATAATCATTGAAATGGATTACAATGTGAGAAAATCAGCTTCAATATTCGATGGCACAGTTTCCTTAGCTGATCATAGATGAGTACGAAGCTGGGCAATATTATTAGATAATAAAATTCGTTGATGAAATAACCAGACATACGTCTACCACTACCAGATAGATAACTACAAAATTATCGTATATCGGCGACACAGTATATCGCTGATTCACATGTTAAATGCTAAAATAATAATATTGGACTAAGTACATTTCTAAACTCAAATAAATTATAGTTGATAATTTCGCATTTGGAAAGGAACAAATGTATACTATCGACTGAAACCTACACATAATTGTGTATCCATGAGGTAGCGCCATGTTGGAATCATAGACCTTTAGTAATGTGAAAAAAATTGAAGTGAATGGTCAAAAAAGGGTACACATTTAAGCTTAAGCACACTATGGTGGCAGTAGTCAACAATTTGCTCACACTGTGTCTGAATTGTGGAAATCTAATTTGCATATCAAAGGTATTGAGGACATGAACCTAAGTTGCCAGTATTTACTTCAAACACAATTGACCCCTGTGTTGACCTGTATTGTGTAGAACATACCAAGGTATTCAGCGGCTGTTGAGCTTCAATACCCCCCCCAAACGTCAGGGCGGTACAACAGTTTTATTTCATATTATGTGATGTTATGTCATTACGTCAAATTGATATATCATGACATTATGTGGGTTTACTATTATTTAATGTTAATTTTTTATTATATGATGTTGATGTGTGATTACGTAGTGAAGATGTGTGACCTCTTATGTTCATGTTATAATGTCGTAATATCGACATTATACAAATGTTCACCCCAAGCCGAGGTTGACAATGGGCTGTGAGGGTCCCTAAAACTGTATGTTCAAAGCTGTTTGGATGAACATTGTAATATTATAGTGAATAAATCGTAATATGAAAATTGTGGAACTCAATCATGGCAATCACCCGGGTCATCCTCGTAGAGCTGAGACATGTATGAGCTCTAATATACAAGTCGAAATAATATTCATGGTAGCGTTGATAAACCTAATTCCAGCAGCTTCAGCCAGACGAGAAATTGATTTTTACAAACACATGCGGTGCCATCCTGTGGGCAACTACACGCTACACTGCGTTCCATTTCGTAATAGAACACTGACACGAGCATCACACGGGGATGCACACTTCCAACAAATACACTGTACAAAAATGTGATTTATATCCCTGCACTTAAACTGAACCACTTCTGGTCATTTTGCTCTGTTTGTGGGAGATAGACGACAATAACACAAATGAGATGGAATGAAAGGCCAAGTATTCTTGACATTTATTGAAAAATGAGAGGCTTGTAAACCTTAAAAAATCCCTCGCCAGTTTCCTCAAACTGAAAGATTACAACAGAAAAACCTCCAAGGAGGTCAAAGGTCAAAGGTCAACTGGCGAGGAAAACTTTCAAAACAATAAATCAGTGAAAATTAAGCACAAATTAATCTCCCACAAGGGTGTGGGCCCCAGAAACGCCCACACCTACCTGCGCCATAATTACAATGGAGGTGCACGGGGTGGTGGAGGGCGACTAAAATTGTAGAAGAAACAAACTGCAAGCCGGAAAGTTGACGGTGTAGTTCAAAAGAGGTTGATCAATGTTGCTGCCCCACC